AGAGGAAACACTCTTTGGAGGGAGGGTGTAAACGGAAAAGAAAATGTGCTAGCAGAGGTTGAAGTTAAGAAAAGTGAAGAGACACATAAAAAATTACATAAGAATATTTAAAAATAGCTTATACAGAATAAAAGGAGACAGTATAAAGATGAAAATACAAACAGGGTTAATAAGAAGAAATCATATCCCAAAATAATGTGCATATCTCGTGCATCATGAGTCAAAGTATCAACTGGTATAGTCTGCAAGGAGAGTATCTGGCACTGTCAAAATCAACTCAAATAGAATTTACCCTACAAGTTGTACTTGTACATATGGTAAAAGGTACATGAACAAGACCATAACTGTTTATAATAGCAATAGATTGGAAAAATCTAAGTGTCCATCAATGATCAAATACATTATTATACACCCATAAAGTGGAACACTACATAGATGCAAAGACAACACCAATGATATGAAATTATATTATATTGAGATTTAAAAAAAGCAAGATGTTGAAGTATATACAGCATGCTACATATATGTAAAACAGGGATATATAAACATTCTTGTATATGCCTAGAAAATTTCTAGAAAGATACGCAAAATGGCAACATTAGTTGCCTCCGCAGAGAAGTTCGTAGGCTGGGATGGGAGACTTTTCAAATGTATCTTTCCTGCCCTTTCAGTTTTGAACAGTGAGAATGTATTATTTAGTTAAATAAATTTTGTCTTTAAAAAACAGGAAAATTGTCTCAGGATTCTGGTTGCACAGAGACAGCGTCATACCTGTAGGGGGATTGGGGAGGAAGGAGGGTCGTAGGCAAAGAGGACCAACTGCTCAAATACGGACAAACAGGGGCACTTTTCAAGACCTGTAATGCCAACGTGCTTTCTTCAAGACCTGAGAGATGAGAATGAATACACATTTCGATCAGAAGAAGATGAATACACAACTTGTAGGGGCTTGAGAGAGAATGAGAAGACAGGCCGGTTAACCAGGCTGGCGCCCGGACTATATCACTAGGGGCACAAAAGGGCCCGCACAGAGCCGGGAGGAGAATCCGGCTCCTCTCCGGCGTCAAGGCTGGCCCCGCCCCGGCTCCGAGCTCCTGCCCTGGCTGGATGCGACTGACCTCGGATGGGTTTGTCGTCCTTCTCATCCTCTTTGGTTTTCCGCTGATCGGCACCGAGGTAATCCGGCATTTTGGGAGATGCAAGTGCCGCAGCTTCTTAGTGATTACACAGCACCTTCCTTGCTTCCGGTGGTGCCTTTGTATTCCCTTCCCCACCGGAAAGAGAGGCGGGTTCCGCGGGCCCCTTTGCACTGCGCACGAGAGGCGGGACTGAGTCGTGGGGGCCACACTGCGGTGCACGGTCGCAGTTGTAAGACCGACTATCTTCCAGCAGGGGACGTCAGTGTACCGTGACCCCTCACCGTCTCTACTGCCCCGAGTTCCAAGACCAAACCTGGCTCATTCGATGTGTTTAATGCAGATTTACTCATTCATTTAGTGGGCAGCCTCGAGTAACTCCTTTAATCTCTGAATTTGAATTTCTCCTTTACCTCGCAGGATTGTGGAGGCATTAAGTAACAGTGTTTGTATAATATTTGGCATAATAGGCACACAATAGGTAGTGGCTATATCTACAAAGAGTGAAGATAATCTATTTCTGGTAATGAAAGTATATATATGTATATTCCTACATTTGTATATATGTGTCAATATATTATATATATGTGTGTATATATTCTACAACTCAACATAAGAAAATCTGGTTTTTAATATGAGCAAAGAACTTGAATAGAAATGTCTCCAAAGAGGATATACACATGGGTGACAAACACATGAAAAGATCCAACATCACTGTTAGGGACACGCACATTGAAGCCAGTTAGATGCCACTTCACACCGATTAGGACCTCTATTTTAAGAAAGGAAATAAATGTTGGAGAGGATATAAAGAAAATGGAATTTTTGTGCACTGTTGATGGGAATGTAAAATGATACAACCACAGTATGGTAGTTCCTTAGAAAATGAAAAATAGGGCTCGGTGCCTATAGCTCAACCGGCTAAGGCGCCAGCCACATACACCTAAGGTGGC